TCCTTATCGTTTTTGACGGAGGAACTATAATAATCATAGGGTGAGGGTTGGTTTCGCCTACCTGCAGACGACTTCAAAGAGTGTACACCGCTGTCCCCTCCCCCTATCACCTGCTTTCGTTCAGTACTCAGCATCAATGGTAGTAGCACAACTACTAGGTAGGAGGCTTAGTGGAATCAGCCAATCGCAAACTACCTTCATCCGCAAACGGTAGAAAACTTCGTCCATAATGGACGAAAACTTTAGAATTTTCTTACATTAGCCCCTGTGACGATCTACCATCAAAATGGTCCTTCACCGTGTGACGCCTATAAAATATCCGCCAAATATAACCTGAATTCCGATGTACTCGACTCATACTCAGAAAGTAGTAAGGAGGTATGCAATAAAAATAGGATGCACAGCCTGAAGTTCCTCAAGTTCACCGAGCAGGCGGCCACTGTGCGGCGAAGTCCCAGAAGGCGCAATGCAAGAAAGTAGAACCAAAGGGCCCCTCAGTGCCCACAGAATGGGGCAGTAAACTTTTACGGTCATCTCGACCGCCACCGCAAGCCACACATAGGCAGCCACCCAAGTCCGCACACGCATGCAAAACAAGTGGACATTTTGAGACATTTGGGACAAGTAACAGAAGCGGGAGCACGTACAGACACGATGGCCAGGTGGAAGGAGAGGAGACGAAGGCGACAAAACATGCGAAATCCTAGTCAAAAGGGATACTTTACAAACTCTATGGCCTCATTCTTCATGAGACCCAAGGCGACAGTCTCACTGAACGAAGACATGTGATAGTGAATGTTTTCGTCTATACCACAGACAATGAATGACCATGCAATGACGTGCAAGGACAGTGTGCAAAAGGAGGGAGTGGGGGGAAAGAGAGAGAACAAGAGTGTAAAAGGGATTTTGTTTACTGATGCGTGGTAAAGGAATCAATGATACTACAACTTGTGGGTCCCGGGTTGTTAGTAAAGTGGGAGCGGGGGGATTATTATCAGACAGTAGATAATGCCCTTTAACAGATTCCAACTTGCCGGTTGTAAGAATTGGATTAACAGTTATTTACTATCACAAGTTGCTTTCGTAAAGAAAACCTCAGCTGGCATTTCAGAGCGCAATTAGAGGACTCCGAGCCTTTTATCTACAGTCTGCTAAGGATGTTATCGCAAGACTGGAATGGGAAACAGAAAACAGGTGTTTACTCTCATTCTTTGGCCCAGTCCGAAAAGCGAAAAAAGAACAAAAAAACCGACAAGTGGAAAGCCAACTTCTAACGTCACGTCTTTTGCTATCAGCCCGATCTAATTATAGGACAATTTACAACATGGTTGTATCAGAGGCAGCCACGAGGAAGAGGAAGGCTTTACTACGACAGACAAGGGAAAGTGTCAGTAAAAAAGAAAAGAAAAAAAGCCATTTCTGACTTATAGGCTTAGTTGATTTGCCAGTCGGAAGACAGGCCCGGACGTGAAATTCTTCGCGGTTGAGCTGATAGATTTCAACTCAAATATTCCTATTTAATTACGCAGTGAGCCTAAAAAGCTATATCCCAAAGGATTTACCTCAAGTTTGCGCATTTATTTAGGAGGGAAAATTAAAAACACAGATAAAAATAAAAACAGTCATTCCAGACAACCTTCTCCGATTGCTTCTGGCAATACACTAACAAGCATCGAAGCCGCTGACGCGGACACTCCCAGTCCTCGAGGTTAAACTACCTACTAATCAAACAAACAGTATTATAACACAGCATACGAGAGAGAGAGAGAGGAGGGAATGAGAACATGGGGTACGCAACGCGCAGGGGAGGGTAAAGGCTGACCTTCGGCAACGTCGAAACCCTGAAACTTCACAGCCTGAGCGTAGTTGACCATGGAGGAGAGCAGCGGGTGAATGGCGGTGGTGGCTCCCGTGTAGTGATACTGCGCCAGCATCGCCTGCTCCTCCTCGGCGGTCAGACTTCCCTACAGAAGGCACAGCAGCAACAGCAGCAGGTTAGATAAGAATCAAGCCAGGGCTATGTGATGATGATGATGATGATGATGATGATGATGATGATGATGATGATGATGAATACTGAGGTTGATGATGATGATGATGATGATGATGATGATGATGATGCTGAGGCGAACAAACACCATGGTATTGCGCAGTCAGACACGCGTGAACGCGTAAAAAGGACGAAAATCTGACGAAGCAGATGACAAGCTGTCCTCTATCCAGCAGGTTGAATAGATAGTTTCGAGCGGATCGGAAGTAGGGAGGATGCAGATAAAAAAACCGTTCTGAATCAAGTGAATTGTAACTGAGCGAACCGGTCGGTTGCCGTGGTTGGACAGACGGTCTTGTGTGGGAACGCCTCGTTAGGACGGCGTGCACTTTGAGTTAAGCTGGGCCCTAACATCGACAATTAACTTGCACCGTCAAACAGATGTTCTATCTGGTACTATCTCAGCCACAGCATTGCGCCCATCTCAGGCGGTGACTTGTTGCCGGCGGTGGTAGAAAGAGTGAGGTCGATCCTCAGTTCACTTCTTTTCTCATCATAAACGATTGGACGCGCTTGAAATTATCACGGTTTGCTAACAGCCGTGGCTTGGAGGGTCGCCAACTGACGAAACAACTATGACACCACAGTCAGCCCAGTGTGTGTCTCGTTGAGCGGAGTGGCTTACCATGGGCTGAGAGACAGACAATTCGTATTAATTTTCTACACGTTCAAACTTTTGTTTTGTACATACGCCATAACTGGTTCTCTATTCGTTGCTGTGTTCTATCTCTGACGATGGACTCTTCTAGGAGTTAAAAAGCTCAGGCTAATAAAACTATGATTCCGGTGATCGACACAGCTTCTTCTTCTTCTCAATCTATTCACGTACCTGTGATGCGAGACTTTGCCTCAAGTCCCATTGTAACCAGTACTATATGCAAGGATAGACACCGATAAAGAGAAGGGAAGCCGAGAGGGCCATTCGAAACCCAGGTTATCTTAACCGGCGATTGAATATAGCTCACCGACGACGGCAAACACACCAGAAATGGTCATCTCAGTCTCTCCTGCCCTGGTCCGTACTCCCTCTTGCATAGCTTACCGATCGCTATGCGACTGCCTGAGAGGACTTCGATTGGATTCCAAGACGGGACGGGACGAACATGTTCCGTAACCTCATCCGTGAACGCCCTCCCGCCACTGTTAATATTATCGGTCGCGTGTGAAAGAAGAAAGAGTCAGTGGCGCAATTTAAAGGCGTTGGAACACCCAATGACCAGAGAATCTGTATTCAGCTCCTGAGATATCCCAACCTGGGAGTGGGAGTATGACCATGGTTACTAAGCCGGAAAAGGGCAATTCAGTCTCTCGTATCTTCGTTAGTGCGCCGTTCTGGATCTAAATTTTCTTGACCAGCTAATATTCCCGCGTTTAACGCAGGCTAGGGAATGGACTATCAAACTCAACTGTACCTTCAATCGCGGCTGTCGCGAGTGGGATTTGCCGATATATTCGTCACGTGCCATCTTCTATTTAATGTGATTCGTCATCATGGGCTGGGCGGCTCGGTTCACGTGGATTATCTAACAGCGTTCTCGGTTTTCATTCAGTCCGCCTATTTTTAACTCCTACTTTCTGATCTTTCAAATTAGCGCTCGTATTTTCCGACTGTGCGCGTGTATTGAAACAAACACGCGACGTAAATGTAACTTTTTACAGTTTCCTTCCCGAAACACAGCCATCTGTCAGCAGTTTCTTTAAACCCACCCATGAAAATCTTATTACCCCCCTGCCAGGAGGCCTTGCCCCCATTTTTTCTCATAACCGATCGTCACCTAACAAACAAACAAACGAACATGCCGGACATTTTGGCTGTGAAGCTACAGTAGGAGCCCTCTTTTTGGTTCTTTTCACTGAATAGTCAGTTAGACGAAAACAATATCGTGGGTGGCTGGTAGGCTGAGGAGGGACTGTGCCGCTGCGGTTGCATACTCTCTTGAACAGCAAACAGTCTTGGCAGGGGCAAAAAACATTCCCAGACATGGTCTACAGACAGGTGACGGTGGTGTAAAACAAAAAGTCAACATAACAAGCAACGTGTTAATAGAGACACACTGGCAGAGATGCTTATCTTCAAGAAAAAAAACCGAACTTGCAGTAGAAAATGTCGTTCGCGAATGGCCCACTTTTTAGAACATCTCAAAATGACCTCCCTTTGAAGAAGTGTCTACTTTTTCTTTCACGTGAGCAATTAACCGGATGATTGGACCTCATGGGTGGACAAAGAACCCCGAGACCACTCTGCGTCGAGTCAATGCGTACTTTCGTTTGAGGGCCAGCAGATATATGCATATGAAGGACGCAGGCTTGGACTGGCAAATGACCCCAAATGTGTGTGGGAGAGAATTCGGCGAGGCTATGATGAATAGACATTAGAGCCAGGAGACTGGCCGACCTATACAGCGGACATCTGTCGTCTACCATCATGGACAGAAGTAAAATCGAGGCCGAAAAGTCGGTGAGTGTATGCGCCAATTACAGAACAGGTCAT